ACCATGGGGGCCTGCCAGGAGCCTGAGTAGGATGGGCGCAGTTCCGCCCAGAACCGGCCTGTGCTGCCTCACCAGAGCACAGGGGGTCGAGGGTTCCCAGTCGAGGCAGAGCCGAAGCAGCAGGGCTGTCCCCACACTGCTGACAGACACTCTCAGAACCGAGCCAGCTACGTGTGGGCTATGGCCCAGGCTCTGGAGAAGTGGCCTGAAAGGGTTTTCCTGGGGGACAACACTGGCGCCCCCCACCTTCCGCAGTAGGTTAATAGGGCTGCAAGCACCGCGGCAGCTCTCGCTGGAAAGCTGGGGGCTGAGCAGGCTTGTCCCTCTCCCACAGGATGAGGACGAGGAGGTGTACAAGAGGGACTTCAGCGCCCCGACCCTCGAGGACCACTTCAACAAGACCATCCTGCCCAAAGTCATGCAGGTGGGTGTGCTGGCCAGGGGTGCCTGGCCTGGGTGCCGCGCCGAGGGGTCCCGGTTCCTTGGCGGGGGCGGGGGGAGCCGCAGGTCCTGTCCTCCCTGGACAGCTGCTGACGAGCTCTTCTGCTCCCCAGGTCAAGAACTTCGGGCGCTCAGGGCGGACAAAGTACACGCACTTGGTGGACCAGGACACCACCTCCTTCGACTCTGCGTGGGGCCAGGAGAGCGCGCAGAACACCAAGTTCTTCAAGCAGAAGGCGGCGGGTGTGCGGGACGTCTTTGAGAGACCCTCGGCCAAGAAGCGAAAAACCACTTAAGGGCGCAGGCAGGAGGGCGCAGCGCGGCCGGTGCTTCTGTGCCAGCTGCCGGGGGCCGGGCAGGGACAGAAGGGACATAGCGCTGTGCCAGGACTCGTGTGGCAACAAGCCCTTCCTCTGCCCTGCTGATGCGGTGCTGCGGAGACCCAGTGGGCTGCCTGCCTGGGTGCTGTGGAGGAGGATGGCCGCTCCGTGCTGGCCAGGCCCGTGGCCAGGCTGCCGTCCCGTCAGCAGCCGCCCAGAGAGCCTCCGCGGTGCCCGACAGCGCTGTGGGACTGTGGCAGCATCCCCAGCTCCAGCATGCCCACTTCTGGAGCAATTAACGGACTTTTATACCTGTCTGGTCCACAGCACCTCCCTATTGCTTGTACTTTCCCCAGTGTCAGTGTGGGCCCGTTTCTGGGCGTGGACCAGGGGTGACTCTGTCTCCTCGCCCTGGTCCTGGGGGGTGTGTCAGCTTTTCTACCTGCGTGGGGGGGGTGGGTTTGATTAAAGCAGTCGTTTTCTTACACGTTCTGGCTGTGTTGTCTGTGGAACGTGGCCGTCCCCTTCTGCACCTTCCTGGGAGCTGGGAAGCACCGGCCAGGGCAGGCGAGGGCGGCTGTCCCCACGCCTGGCTGTCCCCACACCTGGCTCCCTCCCACTCCCTCGTCCTCGTGCCGGGGGCTGCAGCTCCCCAAGGACAGGCAACATGAGGTTCCTGCCGTGGCTCCCGGGACACGGCCCTG